GTACCCCATACCCCTGTTGTGGGGGGCGTCACTATACATATTATGTTATGCACGATCTGTCCCGTAGGTCGAGTTATGCCAGTATCTGTCCATAGGGGGTAGTTACGCACAGATCTGTCCGTAGGGGTAGTTATGAACCTATCTGTCCCGTGGTGTGTTTTACGTATCTGTCCAGTAGGTCGTGTTCGCACCTATTGTCCGTGGTGTTGTTTTCTGCACACTATCTGTCCAGTAGGCCGTACTTACTGCACACTGTCCAGTAGGTCGTAGTTACTGCACAGTATCTGTCCAGTAGGTCGTAGTTACTGCACAATATCTGTCCAGTAGGTCGTAGTTACTGCACACTATCTGTCCAGTAGGTCGTAGTTACTGCACACTATCTGTCCAGTAGGTCGTAGTTACTGCACACTATCTGTCCAAGAGGTCGTAGTTACTGCACACTATCTGTCCAGTAGGTCGTAGTTACTGCACACTATCTGTCCAGTACGTCGTAGTTACTGCACACTATCTGTCCAGTACGTCGTAGTTACTGCACACTATCTGTCCAGTAGGTCGTAGTTATTGCACACTATCTGTCCAGTTGGTCGTAGTTACTCCACACTATCTGTCCAGTAGGTCGTAGTTCCTGCACACTATCTGTCCAGTAGGTCGTAGTTACTCCACACTATCTGTCCAGTAGGTCGTAGTTACTGCACATTATCTGTCCAGTAGGTCGTAGTTACTGCACAGTATCTGTCCAGTAGGTCGTAGTTACTGCACACTATCTGTCCAGTAGGTCGTAGTTACTGCACACTATCTGTCCAGTAGGTCGTAGTTACTCCACACTATCTGTCCAGTAGGTCGTAGTTACTGCACACTATCTGTCCAGTAGGTCGTAGTTACTGCACACTTTCTGTCCAGTAGGTCGTAGTTACTGCACACTATCTGTCCAGTAGGTCGTAGTTACTGCACACTATCTGTCCAGTAGGTCGTAGTTACTGCATACTATCTGTCCAGTACTTAGTAGTTACCTGTGCACAGCCTAATAACGCTAGCCAAGATTACAGGTAAAAATTATTTTCCCAAGAACTAGGTCCCAATATTTCGGTAGCTAAGCAGGTTTCAGTAGATTAGATTTTACCACCTAAGTGGCTAGTTTAGTGTGCGCCCCTTTCCATCCTGTGAAAGGTAGTGCAAAAGCCTATAGATACAAAGTAGGCCTAGGAACTAGGCCCTAAAAGAGTTTACACGAGTATATTTGGATTTATATCTACAGTTCATTTATCTGTTGCAAACAAATTTGAGAAATTTCTTTTAATGTGTTTGGTATCTTATTTTCGTTAATAAGGTATCTAGGCATATCACATATTTTAGTATGTCTATATTTCTCAGTAAGTAGGCAGTTAATCACAGTGTTCAAGATAGTGATCATAGTGTTGGCCAGATACTTTGCATTTGGTTTGATTATCTGTGTGTCACCCAAACTGCCGAAAGTACTTGCAACCAAGCCTAAGCCTGGTCACTACGACATCACTCAGTCTGTTCACATTGCAAGTAGCTCCATACACATACGTTCATGTTATCGTATTTGGTTATAGATCTGCTAGGGCTTTTAACTGCATTCACATGATATTCGGTTTCAATATTTACTTTTTTCCTAACATTATTTCTAATGTTAGACACAAACAGACCAGAAACGAAGTCTTTACACAATGAATTCAGTTGTAATCCTGCTTGCATTCTTTGACACGGCAACAGAAGTGAGAGGAGAGAGAGAGACGAATGGGTAAGTTACATATTCTTGGGCTACAAGGTGCTTGATACTGTACCGCGCGAGAGATTAAGTCAAAGTTTAGAGGGGCAGACAATGATGACAATTATTACACTACAAACCATACTACGGGCGTGGATAGAACCCGCGATCAGAGAGTTATAAAACTCCAGACCGACGCGTTAGCCACTGGGCCAGCTGCCTACAATAAGATTCATCCAACCAGTTGGGTGAATCTTATTGTGTGGTATGGTTTGTTTGCAATCGTTTCATTACGATTCCGTGAGTCGAGTTATTACACTACAGCAGATTAAAGAATATATAATGAAAGGAAACAGAAAATAATCGTCAACGAGGGTTTCCACGAGGATCAAATTTAAGAAAAGTATTTTCTGTTATATCTGACCAACATAGTGGAATATACATCCGCTGATAAATTCCTCTTCACAGATGATGTAAAGATAACGAGGAGAATATCAACTGGAGAGAGAGAGAAAAGCAGTAACTAGATTTGGATAAAGAACAAGATTAATCAGACAAATGGTTATTGGAATTCCACCCAATCAAACATTATTAAATATTAGTAAGTGAAAGGTCGGAACTGAAGTATAAAGTCCGGAAAAGAATAAGGAACAGAGACTAGCAATCTCCTTAGAGTAAAAAGATCTATGGAATGAAACATTCTGCCAGCCAGTGGCTTCTTCAGTCTAATACCTGACAGGAAGGGAACAACGAGTAACGGAACATGACGAGGTGTCAGAGTGGGCGCATGTGTCGAGTGGGGTTCCACAAGGGTCAGTACTAGGTCCGGTGCTGTTTGGTATATAAATGAGTGACATGACAGAAGGGAATGATTCAAGCTGCAAAGCCTGATCCAAGTGCAGAGTCATTAAGCTTGGGGAAGGTAAAAGAAGAGAGCAGACGGAATACAAGCTCAGGGGCCAAAAGTTGCAAACCTTACTTACGGAAAAGGATCCTGGGGTGAGCATCATATCGAGCACATCTCCTGAGGTGCACCTCAACCAAATAACTGCTGCAGTGTGTGGGCGCCTAGCAAACCTAAAAATAGCATTTCGATATCTAAGTAAGGAGTTATTCAAGACCGCACACCGTGTACGTCAGACCTATATTGGAGTATGCAGCACCTGGCCAAGCACGTCAAGAAATTAGACAAAGTGCAAAAGTTTGCAACAAGATTAGTTCCAGAGCTAAGGTGTATGTCCTATGAGGAGAAGATAAGAGAACTCAACCTGACGATACTGGACAACAGGAGGGACAGGGTGGACATGATAACGATATATAAAATACTGAGAGGAACTGACAAGGAGACAGGGGCAGAATGTTACAGAGATGGGACACAACTACATGTTGAAAACTCAGATGAATCATAGGAATGTTAAAAAGTGTTTCTTCAGCCTTAGAGTTGTCAGGGAGTGAAGTAGTGGAGGCAGGATCCATATATAGCTTTAAGAAGAGGTACGATAAGGCTGTTGGAGTGGGGAGAGAGACTTTGTAGCTACTATCGAAGTAGTGACACAAGCTTATAAACGACAACCAGCACGGTTTCAGGGAAGGAAAATCCTGTGTCACAAACTTACTGAAGTTTCATGACAAGGTGACAGAAGACACGAGAGAGAGGGGTGGATAGACTGCATTTTCTTGGACTGCAAGAAGGCCTTCGACACAGTTCCTCACAAGAGGTTAATGCAAAAGCTAGAGGATCAGGCACGCATAACAGGAAAGGCACTGCAATGGATCAGAGAATATCTGACAGGGAGGCAACAACAAGTCATCATGGTACGTGACAAGGTGTCAGAATGGGCACCTGTGACAAACGGGGTTCCACAGGGGTTAGTCCTAGGACCAGTGCTGTTTTTGGTATATGTGAATGACATAACGGAAGGGATAGACTCAGAAGTATCCCTGTTTGCAGATGATGTGAAGTAAATGAGGAGAATCAAATCGGTCGAGTTTCAGGCAGAACTACAAAGAGACCTAGACAGGCTACAAGCCTGATCCAGGAACTGGCTCCTGGAATTTAACCCTGCCAAATCTAAAGTCATGAAGATCGGGGAAGGGCAAAGAAGACCGCAGACAGAGTACAGTTTAGGTGGCCAAAGACCGGGGTGAGTATAATACCGAGCACATCTCCTGAGGCACACATCAACCAGATAACTGCTGCAGCATATGGGCGTCTGGCAAACCTAAAAATAGCGTTCCGATACCTCAGTAAGGAATCGTTGAAGACTCTGCACTTAATATACGTCAGGCCCATATTGGAGTATGCAGCATCAATTTGGAATCCACACCTGGTGAAGCACGTCAAGAAATTAGAGAAAGTGCAAAGGTTTGCAACAAGGCTAGTCCCAGAGCTAAGGGGATTGTCCTACGAAGAAATGTTAAGGGAAATCGGCCTGACAACACTGGAGGACAGGAGGGTCATGGGAGACATGATAACGACATATAAAATACTGCTAGGCATTGACAAGGTGGACAAAGACAGGATGTTCCAGAGATGGGACACAGAAACAAGGGGTCACAATTGGAAGTTGAAGACTCAGATGAGTCAAGGGGATGTTAGGAAGTATTTCTTCAATCGCAGAGTTGTCAGAAGTGGAATAGCCACTTCTGACTCTCTTCCTGCTCATGGAGCAGGAAGAGAGAGAACCTAGTAGCAGTCAGTGAAGAGGCAGATCCAGGAGCTATGACTCGACCCCTGTATCCACAAATAGGTGAGTACACACACACACACACACACACACACACACACACCACACACACACACACACACACATTATAATACCATTAGGCACCAGTAATAACTATAGATCATTAATATATGAAGTGGTGATAATAATAATAATAATAATAATAATAATAATAATATCATTATTTCTACAAGTACATGTACAAGATATATAGGCCTATCTGATATCAATGACTTACTACTTTACAGAAAGTCGCTTGTTATTCAGATCATTTCGGGCAAATCAGCTCAATTTTTGTCCCAGGATGCGACCCACACCAGTCGATTATCACCCAGGTACCCATTTTACTGATGGGTGAACATAGACAACCGGTGTAGGAAAAGACGCCCAATGTTTCTACCCTGACCGTGTGAAGCGAGAGCTGTACCCACCAGGCCACGAGCCTCCGTGGCGCTAGTTGGTGGCAGTAATATGAGTATCATCATCAAATAGCAGTAATAGTAATTACTAGCTGTCTTGTGTGTGGTTGTCTCATCCTACAGAGTCACTACTCCTTCAAGAAAGGTGCAGTGTGGCTGGGCTTGGGTACCGACAATGTGGTGTCAGTGGAGACAGATACCTACGGCAGAATGCTACCCCAGGCACTGAGGAAGGCGGTGAAAGAAGCTAGGGAGAGGGGCGGGGAACCGTTCTTCGTGGGCGCCACTGCAGGAACCACTGTATTGGGAGCCTTCGACCCACTAGAGGAGATCGCTGACGTGTGTCAGGAGGAAGGACTGTGGCTCCATGCTGACGTAAGTCCTCAAGCTGACTCTGGTTCCTACCATATAAAGATCACAAAGGAAATTTCGCTCCCTTTTCCCTTGTTTTAACCTTTCAAGAGAGTTAACTGCCTGATGTCGGTGAAGGGTTCTTGATCCAAGATACTGGAACTATTCTCCACTCCCTTGGATCCAATCCGATTATCACACTTTCCCCGTTCTCAGTATCCCCATAAATGTAATAATAATATATATAATAATAATAATAATAATAATAATAATAATAATAATAATAATAATAAAATGACACAGATACAACTAATTTAGCATTTTATTGTGACATTTCACTCCTGAAGAGCGAAACGTTGCACAATAAAATATCACATTAGTTGCATTTGTGTCGATAATTCTGCCATTATTATTACTACTAATAATATTAATAACGCCTGCCAATGATTTTTGGTGATGTTTGCAGGCGTGTTGGGGCGGCAGCGCCATCCTCTCCAACACACACAAACATCTCTTGCAAGGAATACACAGGTTAGTCAACATCTGACATATAATGTTGAGTGAGAAACAACACATGTACGGCATTTATTTTGGAAAATGTGTCCCTAGATAAGCTTTATCAAGTCATATAAATAACACACACACAACACACACACCACACACACCACACACACACACACACACACACATAGAGTTGTCAGGAATAGTCTAGCAAGTGAAGTAGTGGAGGCAGGAACCATACATAGTTTTAAGACGAGGTATGACAAAGCTCAGGGAGCAAAAAGAGACAGCACCTAGTAGCAATCAGTGAAGAGGCGGGGCCAGGAGCTGAGTCTCCACCCCTGCAACCACAATTAGGTGAATACACACACACACATACATATTCCACAACGCTCTAACCCACGGGACCATACAGTCCTACAAGAATCACGCACCCATCAGAGCTAGGTGTTGTAACATGATCCGAGGACATATGTGGTGGGTGACCTGGGTGTGTGATTCTTGTAAGATTGGTCCTGTAGGTTAGTGCGTTGTACAATTTTCGCTCACCATGAGGCAGGCTAAAACACACACAAACATTACATATACAGTGGTCCCTCGTTTTTCGTAATTAATCCGTTCCTGGAGGAGCTACTATAAACGAAATTTACGATTTGCGAATCAATTTTTCCCATAAGAAATAATGTAAATACAATTAATCCGTTCCTGACACCCAGAAGTATTAAAACAAAAAATTTTTTTACATGAAATATACATGTAGTACATAAACAATACAATGGGAAATGATGAATGAAACATTAACAGCATAACACTTACCTTTATTGGAGATTCTTCTTAGTGTATGGGAGACTGGAGGAGGGGAGAGATTGGATTGTTTACAGTTTGGAAGGGGAATCCCCTTCCAGCAACACCTCAGGTACCAATTGCTTCTCTGGGGTTGCTTCTCTTCTCTGTTTCTTAATGCCACTAGGACCACCTTGAGAGTCACTCTAGTCCTGTCTCGCAAAGTAACTGTGGAGAGAGCTCTGTTTCTGGCGTCTCTTTAACACTTTCCTAAAATGGCCCAAGGCTTTGTCACTGTACATATTTCTCACTTTCTTTACCACAGGCTTGGCACTAGGAGCTTTCTTTGGAGCCATGGTAGCTTATTTAGTGCTTGCAAGCACTAAAATGAGTGGAATATTATGAAATATTTCGTAGGAGCACTTGAGGGTACCTTCACTCACTGGTAAACAATGCCAGACTGGCTCGGTAGGGAGGCCTCCCCGGCTCACACCGTGCGTACGCGCCCCAGACGAACTACTATTCGCGAGTCAACCTATGAAAAGCGAGTCCATGTTTATACGAAAATACCCCTATGATTGGCGAAATTTACAATTGCCAAGAACTACGAAAAGCGAGGGACCACTGTATATATATATATATGTCGTGCCGAATAGGCAGAACTTGCGATCTTGGCTTAAATAGCAACGCTCATCTTGCCATATAGGACAAGTGAAAATTTGTATATGCAATAATTTCGCCAAAATCATTCTGAACCTAACGAAAAAAAAATATTTGATTGTGTTTGTTTAATATTAAATTATTGTAAACAAATCTAAAATATATTTAGTTGGGTTAGGCTAAAATAAATTGCGCTTGTTATAATAAGGTTAGGTAAGTTTTCTAAGTTCCTTTTGGTAAAAAATTATAAATTACATTATTTTACAGCATAAAGAAATGTAAATTGTTTTGTATTGTTGTGACGAGACTTGGGGCGGGGCTCCCCCCTGAATGTCAGGGGGGCGCCCCCCTGAATGTCAGGGGAATTTACTGAAGGCTAAACAGGAACTGTTGTGAAGAATAGAGGTTAATAATAATAATAATAATAATAATAATAATAATAATAATAATAATAATAACAATAATAATAATAATATCTTTATTTACTACTATATAGAAAGCCACTTGTTATGCTGAGCATTTCCCACAAATTAGGTCAGTTTTGTCCCAGGATGCGACCCACACCAGTCCACTAACACCCAGGTACCTATTTTACTGAAGGGAAACATAGACAACCGGTGTAAAGAAACACACCTAATGCTTCTACCCTTGCCGGGAATCGAACTTGGATCCTCGCCGTGTGAAGCGAGAGCTTTAGCCACCAGGCCACGGGCTGTGGGTTTATGGGTTAGTGATCCCTATTCAGTCAGTGTGGAGTGAGACTAGGAACCTGCTGCTTCATCCCTAGATACTTCAGTTAAGATAGACAAGATAAGATAAGATAAGATTTCGTTCGGATTTTTAACCCCGGAGGGTTAGCCACCCAGGATAACCCAAGAAAGTCAGTGCGTCATCGAGGTCCTTAATCTTGTCCCCCAGGATGCGACCCACACCAGTCGACTAACACCCAGGTACCTATTTGCTGCTAGGTGAACAGGACAACAGGTGTAAGGAAACGTGTCGAAATGTTTCCACCCGCCGGGAATCGAACCCGGGCCCTCCGTGTGTGAAGCAGGAACTTTAGCCACCAGGCCACCGGGCCACCACCCACCTCCGTGCTACACAGTGGGCAGTGTCAGATAATAGTTATAGATGTCAGCATAGTTGCTGATCCCTGTGTTGTAAAGCATATCATAGTATCATCCATGTGCTTTGTTTGACTGTTTGTGTGACGTCACGGGATACAGCTCGAATGTGAGCCGAGCTAGCTACCTCAGCCTCAGTCGGTGTTTGACATAGGCAGGACAAGGCAGAGGCTGGGCTCCGTCTCCCATTACCAGAGTCTGACAATATATCGTTACCATCCAACAAGTGTGTCTACCTTCAACCCTCGATATCTCCTTTTAAGAACCCCTACGATACAGAGGCAGATCTCTGGTAAAGTTGGCCACATTTTTGCACGTGGACCCCAAGATAAATGAATGCATTCACTACTCTCGAGATACTTATGGAGAGGGGTGATGAAGGTCATGGTTACACCTGAGAACTTAAGAACAGGTCCACTGCCTTAACCTAGTCAGGTCAGTCACATTCACTTAAGGGAGGAGCACGGCATCTGACCTAGTAGCACAAGCTAGTCAGGTCCAACTCACACCCACCCACACCCACTCATGTATTTATCTAACCTATTTTTAAAACTACACAAGGTCTTAGCTTCTATGACGGTACTCGGGAGTTCGTTCCTCTCATCCACAACTCTATTACCAAACCAGTCCTTTCCTATATCCTTCCTGAATCTGAATTTTTCCAACTTAAAGCCATTGCTTCGTCCTGTCTATGCTAGATATTTTTAGCACGCTATTTACATCCCCTTTATTAATTCCTGTTTTCCATTTATACACCTCAGCCATATCCCCCCTTTCTAGAGAGTGCAGATTCAGGGCCTTCAGTCTATCCTCATAGGGAAGATTTCTGATACATGGGATCAACTTTGTTATCCTCCTTTTTACGTTCTCTAGTTCATTTATATCCATTCTGTAATACGGTGACCAAAACTCTGCAGCATAATCTAAATGAGGCCTAACCAAAGATATATAGAGTTGAAGAAAAACCTGAGGACTTCTATTATTTATACTTCTAGATATGAAGCCAAGAATTCTGTTAACTTTATTGCGAACACTAATGCACTGTTGTCTTGGTTTCAGATTACTGCTAACCAGAACTCCTAAATCCTTTTCGCAATCTGTAATATTAAGATCTACATTATTTAATTTATATATGGCATGGTTATTGTCCTGTCCAACATTTAGAACTTTACATTTGTCTATATTAAACTGCATCTGCCACTTCTCCGACCACTGCACAAGTCTATTCAAATCATCCTGGAGTGCTCTAGTGTCCTCATTAGAATTAATTGGACGGCCTATTTTGGTGTCATCAACAAACTTTCTTATGTCACTATTTATTCCCTCATCTATGTCGTTTCTGTAAATTGTGAGCAACAAGGGGCCCAACATTGACCCCTGAGGAACCCCACTTGTGACGTGCCCCCATTCTGATTTCTTCCCATTTATGCAAACTCTCTGCTGTCTATTTGTCAGCCATGCCTCTACCCAGGAAAAAATTTCTCCTCCTATTCCGTGTGCCTTAAGTTTCCTCAATAGCCTCTGATGTGGAACTCTATCGAAAGCCTTACTGAAGTCCATATACACAATATCATATTCAATACCATGATCTACTTCCTCAAACACCTTAGTGAAAAAAGTTAGTAAATTCGTAAGACAGGAACGCCCCTTTGTAAAACCGTGTTGAGAATCATTAATCAATCTGTGCCTGTCAAGATGGCTACGAATTGCTTCGGCAATTAATGATTCCATAAATTTTCCCAAAATGGAGGTAATGCTTATTGGTCTATAGTTCGAAGCCAAGGACCTGTCACCTGCCTTGTAAATAGGTATTACATTTGCCATTTTCCACTTATCAGGCACTATGCCAGTTTGTAGTGATATGTTAAAAAGATTAGCCAAAGGTATGCTAAGTTCCTCTTTACATTCCTTTAACACCCTTGCAAACAGTTCATCAGGGCCTGGGGATTTGTTAGGTTTTAGTTTCTCTATTTGTCTGAGGACCATGTCACTAGTTACTGCAATCGTACATAGTTTATTATCATCCTGTTCTACGTAATCTATTATTTCTGGAATTTCACTAGTAAAAACTGAAAGTATTGAAAAGTTCACACATATCCTTATCACTGTCAGTGATCTCACCAGAGTTACTCTTAAGTGGTGTGAAAATTTGTCTGGGCTGCCTCCAAGTGAGTCGCCTACCCTGGCAAACTCTGTTGACATCGAGCTCTGAGATGGGTACCTCAGCCTCACAAGTGGCTTATAGGACAGATTTTTTCACAAATGATTGGTATTGCAAGAAACCTCGCCTGCATGCACGTATAAAGGACTAACTTACTTGGTGTTGCAGCATATATCCTGATCTTCAACTTCCTAAGCCTAGCTTTAGCCCCCTTGGACTTCCCCTTGGGAACCACGTGCAACCGGGAGCATTAATTCCTGCAATATTCAATCGTTATTAGTGTCCTGCCTGCACCTCAGAAATTCCTATATCCAAAGAGGTTATGTATCCTCCTAGTATAACTATGGCAGACTCAGCGCTAGCTTCAGGGACGACTCTGAGACGCTCGGTACTTACTGGGGCATACTCTCTCTGTAGCACGCCGAGCCCTCAGTTAACTCAACCCACCAAATCTCCTAAGTCACTGCCCGATCCTACGGAAAAGGGTGAATATCTCGTCTTACTGTATGGGCTGATGGAGGAGATCATTTACTGGTACATCGGGTGATCTCTACCTCAGATTTCCCCAGGTACTCAGATTGTGATGGACACGTGGGGGGCGCCGCCTGATGTTCACGGCACGTCTTGTCTAGTCGATGTCTATCGTAAAAGGACGCTATTCTGTCTTTGTGACCTGCGCCCCGTCCATTCAAGCTGGGCTGGCCAGTTTCCTAGCTAACTTATCCTAATGTTTGCCTTACATTATCGGCCTATTACTACCTATGTTAAAGGTCTTTAGGTCTACTCTATCAGTGATCTACAGATAGCCTTAGTAAAAATTAATATTAGTGTATTACCAGTAAACCTACCTACTCCTCCTGAGAGTAAATCTATAAATTACTAAGTTCCCCAACGCCAACCAGGAAGGAATGCCTTGCTTGTTTGGGAGGGTTTTGGGTATCGCTCGGCTCAGACGTACCAGACGCTCATGTGTGATCTGAGCTGTGGAACTATTTGGACCAAATAAATTTCCACATCCTACCCGCCGCGAAGGTAGGCGCTAAGTCTAGATCAAGTCTGCCTCCGCAGGCCCCCCCCAGTGGGCCCTGGACTCGAGCGCCGTTCGACGGGTCGTCCGGCCGCTCAGCTCGCTCAACCTCTGGTCTTGATTTCTCATGTTCCTGTCCCACCGTGTGGACTCGAGAGGCAAAAGCCTGTTGATTGGGTTTTTAGTCTCGACACCGTTATTCTCACTTTCACCACTTCTCAAACCGCCCAGCCTTGTTCTGGGTGGTTTGACCACTACCTGGCAAGAGGCCAGTATGCCTCGGCGCTCGGATTTCTACCAGCACAGGTCCCCTTCCACTTAGCATCATTTATTCGCCCATCGGGGTCGGCACCATAAGAAAGTTCCGCAAGGTTTTCAAGTAATCCTGCGACACACCTGGTTCCATTTGTGTCCAGGATGTTCACTAGTCTGTTTGTGACTCTGCTGCAGTTCTTCATGATGGGGTGTGACCATCTGGCCCATAATAATCCAGCTCCTTGAAGACTGACTCAAAAATTGCGGGAAGGGCTCAATCCTTCTTCCAAGCAGTGTGATTGGGGGTGACGAGCTTCTTGCTCGTCATCTCCCATTTTGTATGTACGCGTCAGAGGCCTGTTATTAACTCTTGCCTCTATCTAAATAACACTGTCATCAGTTCATCACAGCTCACCCTCCTGCCGTGCAAGACCTTCCGAATGCACCTTTTGACTGTGCCCACCATGCGTTCATAGAATCCCCCTTGCCAGGGTTGCCCTGGGAGCTATGAACCTCCACTCGCACTCTATTCTCTTCAGGTGTTCTCGTACTTCTCGTTGTCCCTAAGATTCCTGAAAACTTTATCGGCCGCCCTAAAGCTTGTGCCATTGTCCGAGATAATCAATCGCGGGCACGAGAATCTGGCAGTAAACCTCCTGAACAACTTCACGAAAGTCTCTGTCGTCATATCTTCTGCCAACTCCAAATGCACCGCTCGAGTAGTGGCACAGGTAAACAGGCAGACATATACTTTCTGAGGGCCCCTCCTTAACGTCTCCTGGGTTCTTCAATGTGATAGCCCCAGTATAGTCTATTCCTACAGTCTCAAAGGGCCTGTCACTATGTACCCGCTCCTGAGGCAGCGGTGGTGGACCTGGGTAGGGTAGGGTCCCCCCATCGTACCGCCGGCAGACCGTGCAACTCTTTAGCACCCTTTTGACGGCAGCTCGACCCTTCAGTACCCAGTAATTCTGACGTAGGCAGGTGAGGGTATCTCCAAACCCCCCATGTAAGGTCCTCTGATGGGCATCTTGTATCAATAGCTCTGTCGCCCATCCCCTCCTTTCCAGCATCACGGGATGTTTGGCCCCATAGCTGAGCTCAGAGTTTTGTATTCTTCCCCTGCATCTTATTAGCCCCGCATGATCTAGGAACAATCCCAATGAGTGAACCAATTTGCTGTTCCCTGAGTCGTCATCGTTGGACACGGTCCTGACGCCATAACCTGCTGCCGGGTCGCAAGTACTTCCAGCACTCCTGGAAACCTCCCCCTTTGGTACTGCCTTATCCAATATTCTCTGGGACCACTAGAGACAACTGTCGACCTGGCTTACCTTGTCATGCAGCTTCCTCCGAATCGAAATACCATTTCCGTGACTCCTATAAGTTTTCTCACGAGGAGTAGCGCCTGGGGTCAAATAATTCAGTGTCGTGTTCCCCCGCAAAATGTACTATGCTGCTGATTGTCTCCACGAATTTCTGCTCCGGCCAGCAATCCTTGCCGGTAACCAGTCTGGGCCTTTGAACCAAAGCTCGCCTTTTACTCAACTTTCTGTGTGTCACCCTCGGCTTTTTCAGGTCGGCTGGGTTTTGATCTGTAGGCACATACAGAATTGTTGACGTTGACTGTAGTTCCCGTATCTCCTTTACCCGATTCCTGACATAGGGGAGCTTAGACCTGTCATCTGGACCCACTGTAAAGGCCACCTCCGAGTCTGTCCATACATAGGTGTGTGTCACCCTCAGATTACTTAACACTCCTCTACGTACTACCCAGTCTTGCTCCCAGCAACATCGCTGTGAGCTCTAGCTTTGGGATCGAGCAATCCTTCAGGGGTGTCACCCGCGCACGATGGTGACCAGATTGACTTGGTCCCCGGCCACCAAATACGCTACTGCCCATAGGCCCTGGAGGAGGCATCACAAAAGACGTGCAAGTCATAATCCCGCCCGGTGCACCCGATGGACCTGGGGAATGTGAACTCGTGCAATTCCGCTAGGTCTTTGTTAACCAGATCCCACTCCTGGCAGACTGTTTCTGGCAGTGGGTCGTTCCCAACCTAGGTTCAGCTCCCAGGTCTGTTGTACTAGCATCCTCCCTCGAATGGTGATGGGTGTCAACAACCCAAAGGATCGAAGGCAGTCTGCACTTTGCTCAGCAAAGACCTCCTGGTCAGCTTCCCTTCCCCATCAGGCTTCCTCTTTAGCCTAAGTCTGTCTTCCTTGACTTCCCACTCAGTCCCAAACACCGATGTTAACCTCAGGCACTGAGTAGCCAGTATAGTCACGTTCCCACCATGCCCCGCAACGTTGGATTGTTTGTCACCCATTCTCTCAATGGCATGTTAGCGAGAGCATCTCCCGATTAGACTCTCGGTAAATATCCATCAACAGCCTTTCATCTGAGGTGGTACCCTGCATGTTGTCTACATAAAATAGGGTCTTCAGTAATTCTTTAAGCGGGCTGTTACAGTTCACAAGGTGGTAGTCTATGGTAGCCTGTAATAGGAATGGTGAACTAGTGGCACCAAACAACACTGCCCTGAAAACTATAGGTATCATACCCTTGCTTGGGCATCTCCCTGTTAGCCAACCACAAGAACCTTGTGTAGTCCCTATCCTGTGGCTGCAACCCAATACGTAGGAAGGCTTTGCTAATGTCTGCCCGCATAGGCGTACTGTTCCGTCCTGAATCTCAACAACACATCTGCTAATTTCTGCGTCAGGGAGGGCCTGTGAGCAGACAGTCGTTCAACGATGGCTCTCGGGGACTCGCCTGCGAGCTGCAGTTGAAGACTACTCTGATGGGGGTGGTTACCGACTCCTTGGTGACTGCCATGTGTGGAAGATAATGGGTGTTTTCCCAGGGTGGCATTGGGCACTTTCTCGATGAACCCAAGGGCCAGCTGTTCCTTAATAATATCATCATATTTTCCCCACCAGACCCTCTGTCGGT